ATGAACAGTCTGAAGGCCGAGGACACAGCAGTGTATTACTGTGCCAGAGACACACAGTGATAGACAGTAACAGGAGAGTCATACACAAACTACTTCCTCTGTTTACCACCACCCATGAGAGCATTCACTTTATGTTGAAATACTGAGTAACTGAATATTGACATCCTATTTCGTCTCATTTGACGCAATGTTTAATTCAGTTGCAACCTAAAGAAATGTAGTGAATTCTAACAGAAAAATATGTATTTTTGTGTATTTTCTGTCTCCAACAAAATGTATCATAGATAATATAAAAATGTCCCATTTCAAACAACGCAGCTGTTTATCTGATTCAGTATGGTTAAACTGTGCCCATGTATCTCTAGAAGTACATTAATGAAAGCACACTTTGATAACATTAAACATTAAAAAACATCTGTTTGATTTGCCGATTGAACACAAATCATCATTATATCATAAACATTATCATCAGGAAAGCTTCATCTGTTTGAATTTGAAGCATTACTGTAACATAACCACAACCAAATGAAGCAAATTCTATATTTAACACTGGAGAGAAACAACTGATTCCAGTCAGCTAACTGGCAAACTTTAATCCACCGTAAACACAGTGGAGAAGTTGATTAAATAAAAACAATATATTAATAATGTTTCCCTTAAAGAAGCAGCTCTGATCATCTAATCTCTAACCCAAATTAAATCAAATAAACCCGAGATGAATGGTTATTTATATAATTTAGATTATTGTCGTATTGGATGTAGGCCTAGCTGTCCCTCTTGCAATCAAAATCGTTATTTTCTATTTGTTGTTGCTTTAAAAATGGCCTTGCAAAAATTATTCTTAAAAAGACACACAAACTTAGTTATAGGAGGAGTCAATGCAAAACTCAGATATCTCCCCCTCTACTTATGTGACTGCAGAGAGGAGGACAGAGGACAGAGGACAGAGGACACACAGTTTAACATGATGGACTATAGGACAGGACTGCTGCTGCTCACTGTCTGCTGGGCAGGTCAACATCTTTACTGATCTTTATCTAACACAGCTTCTAATTGTGTCACCACCAGCTTATTTCACCAGATGTGTTTTTATCCTCTTGACAGGTGTTGATGGTCAGACTCTGACAGAATCTGAACCAGTGACTAAAAGGCCTGGAGAATCTCACAGATTGACCTGTACAGGCTCTGGATTCACATTCAGTAGCCACTGGATGGCCTGGGTCAGACAGGCTCCTGGGAAAGGACTGGAGTGGGTTGCGAGTATGTATAACAGTAACAATATCTTCTACTCTGAGTCAGTGAAAGGCCGGTTCACCATCTCCAAAGACGACAACAGACAGCAGGTGTCTCTGCAGATGAGCAGTCTGACGGCTGTAGACTCTGCTGTTTATTACTGTGCTCGACACACAGTGACTGAAGCTGGTTGAGCAGCTGTACAAAAACCTACAGCACCTATTCTTATCTCGATAAACTCTCAAAATCAATTATATTCTTCATGTATCTTTTGCTTTGGCTGTATATAATAAAATTATGAAATTCAGCCTTGAGAGAGATCATCAATTACCAGCAATGTTTAATTAACACATTGTTAGAACAATATTATCGATGTGTTGATCGCTGGAACACAAAATAGCCAAGGAGAAAAAAACGAAAAGGTCTCCTGAAATCAATGTCCAAAAAAGGAATAAAATAAACAATACATGAACACATTTCAGCCACATAATGCATATATATGGGAGTAAAAATAATGTAGAAGCTGCTCTCATAAAGACACTAGAGAGTTCCCCTCTCCTCTGTCAGTAAAAGGAAACACTCAGATCTGCTGCTCTCACTGATCTTAACTCACACTCAGACCCTGCTCTGAACTACAGGTTTATATTCTCACCCTGTGAGAGGTTGCTTCATTATAACACACAAAAAACATTTTAATAGCTGGATCAGAATTCACTGCAGATTTATGAGTTCATTTAGTCGTAGTTCTCCCTCAAACAGATTTCAAGATATCAGGCATTCTATTGGTTGAGAACAGTCACAAAATAAATAAATGTACACAGAAGGATTTACTAATGTTATTTGAGATTTATATATAAATGTCTGCATCCACACAAATATTTTTCAATGCATACACAAATACTTATAGTTTTATATGAATATAAAAACGTTTTCACAAATGTAAAACATTTTTAAGAGGGAAGTGTCAGTAGCCAATCAGATGTCTGCTTAATTGTAAGCCAATCAAATGATTGCGTCCCCACTGATAGATATTCTACACAACTTAAAACTAATTAGAGAAAATACTTAACAGCTGAGATGGAGAGTTGATATTTTTTACAAACCCTGTGAGGAGGAGTCAATGCAAAACTCAGATGTCTCCCCCTCTACTTATGTGACTGCAGGGAGGAGGACAGAGGACAGAGGACACACAGTTTAACATGATGGACTATAGGACAGGACTGCTGCTGCTCACTGTCTGCTGGGCAGGTCAACATCTTTACTGATCTTTATCTAACACAGATTTTAATTGTGTCACCAGCTTATTTCACCAGATGTGTTTTTATCCTCTTGACAGGTGTTGATGGTCAGACTCTGACAGAATCTGATCCAGTGACTAAAAGGCCTGGAGAATCTCACAGATTGACCTGTACAGCCTCTGGATTCACATTAAGTAGCTACGGCATGAGCTGGGTCAGACAAGCTCCTGGAAAAGGACTGGAGTGGATCGCTTACACCTATAGTACTTCTACCTCTTACTCCCAGTCGGTCCAGGGTAGATTCACTATCTCCAGAGATGACTCCAGCAGTAAAGTGTATCTGCAGATGAACAGTCTGAAGGCCGAGGACACAGCAGTGTATTACTGTGCCAGAGACACACAGTGATAGACAGTAACAGGAGAGTCGTACAAAAACTACTTCCTCTATTTACCACCACCCATGAGAGCATTCACTTTATATTGAAATACTGAGTAACTGAATATTGACATCCTATTTCATCTCATTTGACACAATGTTTAATTCAGTTGCAACCTAAAGACATATAGTGAATTCAATCAGAATAATATGTAATATTGTTTCTTTTGTGTCTCCAACAAAATGTATCACAGATAATATAAAATGTTCCATTTCAAACAACGCAGCTGTTTATCTGATTCAGTATGGTTAAACTGTGCCCATGTATCTCTAGAAGTACATTAATGAAAGCACACTTTGATAACATTAAACATTAAACAAATCTATTAGATTTGCCGATTGAACACAAATCATCATTATATCATAAACATTATCATCAGGAAAGTTTTATCTGTTTGAATTTGAAACATTACTGTCACATAACCACAACCAAATGAAGCAAATTCTATATTTAACCCTGGAGATAAACAACTGATTCCAGTCTGCTAACTGGCAAACTTTAATCCACCATAAACACATTTGAGAAGTTGTTTAAATACAAATGATATCTTAATAATGTTTCCCTTAAAGAAACAGTTCTGATCATCTAATCTCTAACCCAAATTAAATCAAATACACCCGAGATTAATGGTTAGTTAGTTAATTTAGTTTATTGTCGAATTGGATGTAGGCCTAGGTGAGTCCCTCTGGCAATCAAAATCATAATACTTTACATGAAGTCTATTTTATAAATGGCGTTGCAAAATTATTCTTAAAAAAACACACACACTTAGTTATAGGAGGAGTCAATGCAAAACTCAGATATCTCCCCCTCTACTTATGTGACTGCAGAGAGGAGGACAGAGGACAGAGGACACACAGTTTAACATGATGGACTATAGGACAGGACTGCTGCTGCTCACTGTCTGCTGGGCAGGTCAACATCTTTACTGATCTTTATCTAACACAGATTTTAATTGTGTCACCAGTTTATTTCACCAGATGTGTTTTTATCCTCTTGACAGGTGTTGATGGTCAGACTCTGACAGAATCTGAACCAGTGACTAAAAGGCCTGGAGAATCTCACAGATTGACCTGTACAGCCTCTGGATTCACATTCAGTAGCTACTACATGAACTGGGTCAGACAGGCTCCTGGGAAAGGACTGGAGTGGGTTGCTACTATGCACCCTACTAGCAGTGCCAACATCTTCTACTCTGAGTCAGTGAAAGGCCGGTTCACCATCTCCAGAGACAACAACAGACAGCAGGTGTATCTGCAGATGAGCAGTCTGACGGCTGTAGACTCTGCTGTTTATTACTGTGCTCGAGAGACACAGTGACTGAAGCTGGTTGAGCAGCTGTACAAAAACCTACAGAACTCATCCTTATCTTAGATATACCCTTAAAATGAATTATATTCTTCAGTTATCTGTTGCTGTGGTTGTATATAATACAATTATGAAATTCAGCCTTGAGAGAGTTCATAAATTACCAGCAATTTAAATAAATTAAAAAAAGATCTAGATGAATTGATCCCTGCCAAAAAAAATAGCCAAGACCAAAACAAAAAAAAGATTCCGCTGAGATCAATGTCATAATAGGAATAAAATCAACAATACATGAACACGTTTCAGCACCATTAATGCATATCATGGAGCAGCTGCTCTCATAAAGACACTAGATGGCAGTCAGTGTTGAGTTCCCCTCTCTTCTGTCAGTAAAAGGAAACACTCAGATCTGCTGCTGTCACTGATCTTAACTCACACTCAGACCCTGGACTGAACTACAGGTTTATACTCTCACCCTTTGAGAGGTTGCTTCATTATAACACAAAAAGGAGCTGGATCAGCAGTCACTGCAGATTCATTAGTTCATTTAGTTCTCCCACAAACATATTTCAGTATCTCAGGCATTTCTTCCTGTGTGTCTTGTTTCATAACAAATGGTTTCTATATAAAACAGCTAAACAGTTTAGGCAGATTGTTCATTTTTATCAGAATTTAAATATTAATTTAAATATTCTTCATATTCAGCACTAAGAGGAGGAGCCAATGCAAATATTCATCTCTTCCATCTTTATTTATCTCACAGCAAACTGAAGAGGAGAGCTCAAACCACTGCAGCACACACAACACATTTCCACTATGACTTTAGCTACATGTTTAATGTTTCTGATGCTTTCATGGATTTCTGGTGAGTACATACTCCTGCACTCTTCTTTTACTTAGGTTTATGTTTGGCTCTGTTGTGATCAAGCTGCTTTTCTCTCCAGGTGTTTGCAGTCAGACTCTGACTGAGTCTGAAGCGGTGGTAAAGCTCCCTGGACAGTCCCACAAACTGACCTGTACATATGCAGGAATATCAGATAGTGATGCTGCTATCAGCTGGATCAGACAAGCTGAAGGAAAAGGACTGGAGTGGGTTGCCCACATTTCTGCTCCAAGTGGAACTAATAAATATTATTCCACGTCAGTCCAGAATCGCTTCACCATCTCCAGAGACAACAACGTGGACCAGGTGTATCTGCAGATGAACAGCCTGACGTCTGAAGACTCTGCTGTTTATTATTGTGCTCGACAGACACAGTGATACAGAAAGCCACAGAGCTGTACAAAAACCACTTCATTGTCAGTGGCATTAACCAATAGAGAGTGCAAGTAATTTTCCACCTTAAATCAGGATATCTTATATACACAAGATGTAAATACTTCCCCACGCAATGCTTCTGTCACAAGACGTCTTTGTGTTTTAAAATAAAGTCAGTGACAAAGGTTACCCCAAAAGGGCGACACTGGTGGAAGTCCCCAGAGAAGCTATGCAAAAACCTTGCAGACTGTTAATGTCTAAATGTGTTTGTCTTCTCTGTGTTATATGGCTTTTAAAGAATAAAACATAAATATGAGGACTTTGTTTGAAATATTAATCAAAATCATATTCTTTTCGAGACTGTTAAGCTAGGGGGTATTTTGTATAATTCCTTACGCTTATAAAACATTTGAGTGATCATTATAACGTAGAGATCCCCACATGTGTTTTCTCAGGCCTCTGCATGTATTATATTGAAAACAAGATATTGAGATATTTATAGAATGACAGAGCCAATGAATTGGTGAACAGAGAGAAGAAGAGGGGACCCAGGACGCACCCCCTGAGGGACCTCATTGAGGAGGGTCAGACATACATCTTCTCAAAGTTACCCTGTAGGTTCAGTCTCTGAATAATCTAAGTTTGGTGAAGATCTCACTAATAAACACATCAGAAACACTGAGTGGGCCGATTAATGATTGAGATTATGTTGATTTGTGTTTCCAAAGGTAGGCACATTATTGATCTGATGCAGTCGGACTCAATGGTTGAATGAATTATAACAGTCCCTGCAAAAGCCCCTCCCTCCCCATGCTATCCTGATGCAAATCTCTAGTGTGTGCAGAGTACTTCTGTCTGACTGATCTGTACTTTGTGTGGAGCATCAGAGGTCACATCTCCAGTCTCAGGATGATCAACTCTCTCTCTCTTCTGCTGGTTGCTCTCTCTCTGCCCTGTGAGCTCTCCTGCTTCTTGATGTTTTATCTTTTATCAGACAACATCCACTGATGGTCAGTCAGTGATACCAGAACATTTTCAAAATATCTCACTGTCTTCTTTGGTTCTCTTTCTCTTTTTTAAAAAATCTTATCAGGTTGTACAGGTCAGAGTATGGAGTCTATTCCTTCCTCTTCAGTAGTGAAGAGGCCTGGGGAGACTCTCAGTCTCTCCTGCAGGGGATCTGGCTTCACATTAATTGCTGTGTTATGATCTGGGTCAGACAACCTGCTGGAAAACCTCTGGAATTGATAGGGAGCGGCTTCTCTTCGGCTGATAGAAAAACACATGCCAGCAGTGTGGATGGACGTGTAGAAATCAGTAGAGATGATACCAACAGCATGGTGCATCTGAGGCTGTCCAACTTATTGCCAGAAGACTCTGCTGCGTATTACTGTGCAAGAGACACACACTGGTTAAAGGAAGCACAGAGGCTTCACAAAAACCTTGAACTATTTATTATCACTAGTACCAACAGGTGGCAGTAAATGATAAAAAGTCAGATGACAATAAGGAGAAAAAGACAGCTTTTCTAAACACACTATGACAGCAACGGCTGATGTGGAATTTCACTTCCCCTTTTTAGATATACATTTTACTTCAGGCATTCTTGCAACAATATTGTCCCATTATTTAATTTTTAACAGAAAGTATCGATAATATATTTATGCATGATGTATCCAGTATGTGGGTTAGGGTTTTGCTGAGCAGAATAAATGATTACATCTGATTTAAGATTACATAAAAGTTAGTGATTAGTAACTTAAAATGTATCCTTATAATTGTCCAACAAGTCCAAATGACAACTCTTAACAGGACAGTCCGTCCCTCTTTTATAGCCTGTCAGTGTCCCTCTCTATGCAAAGTGAACTTCCTCACAGTCTGCTATAAAGACTTGATATCATGCTGTCAGCTGCAGCAGAAGAAGAGAAGCTCCATCAGGTCACCTTCAACACCAACCATGTTCTCTGTAGCTCTGCTGCTGCTGCTGGCTGCTGGATCCTGTGAGTCTCACTGAGGCAGAGACACTGACAGAACGCTCACACTGACTGCTCACTGTTATTAACCTCGCTCACTATTCAACATGTTTCCCTCCACAGGTGTGAAGTGTGAGCAGTTGACACAGCCAGCCTCTGTGACTGTGCAGCCAGGTCAACGTCTGACCATCACCTGTCAGGTCTCTTATTATGTTAGCAGCTACTACACAGCCTGGATCAGACAGCCTGCAGGGAAAGGACTGGAGTGGATAGGAATGAAATACACTGGAGATTCATACTATAAAGATTCACTGAAGAGCAAGTTCAGTATTGAGGTAGACTCTTCCAGCAAAACAGTGACTCTGAACGGACAGAGCGTGCAGCCTGGAGATTCTGCTGTGTATTACTGTGCCAGAGACACACTGTGACACACACCATCAGTAGAGCTGTGCAAAAACCCCTCAGAGCCTGAACACTTGTAACATGAAGCCACCAGAGGAGGAGCCCTCAGACCAGAAATGATCTCAACACCAGCTCACTGTTACATCATCAGTTTCAACATTTATAGGTTATAATCACTGATACATTACTGTATGTATTCCCAGAATAAAAGCCAAAAAAAAAGACAAATTGTCGACCATTAAACTTTTCAAGTAGACCTTATAAAATAAAATAAGCTGAATTGGTTTCAGTAGATTAATTGCTCTAAATGTTAGTTGTGTAACAGGATGTATTCCCCTAAAAAAAATATCAATTACTACAAGCTACGAGCCAAAACTTACATTTCTTTGGATCTCACAATTGCAACAAATGCATTAATTGCTGTACTGATAACTGTGACACAATACGTCAGCTTTGATAAAAAAGTATGGGATGCTTTTCGTCTATTTCAAACCTAGCCTGCAAAGTGATATACACGCTACATGATATAAAACTTAATCATAACAATTTTAAAACCTATTTTCAATAAACAGCAGCAGAAATTCAAGTTGCATCGGAAGAAACTGAATTAAATAAGAAATCTAAATGTAAAAAATCAATATAAGGATAACATTGAAATCAGGTTAAAATGTTGACAAAATCAACATTTAAATAGATCTTTTTTTAAGGTAAATATTAGTGTGAACAGAGGACAATGTTCAATCAGAAAGGAGGAGTCAATGCAAAACTCAGATATCTCCCCCTCTACTTATGTGACTGCAGAGAGGAGGACAGAGGACAGAGGACACACAGTTTAACATGATGGACTATAGGACAGGACTGCTGCTGCTCACTGTCTGCTGGGCAGGTCAACATCTTTACTGATCTTTATCTAACACAGATTGTAATTGTGTCAACAGCTTATCTCACCAGATGTGTTTTTATCCTCTTTACAGGTGTTGATGGTCAGACTCTGACAGAATCTGAAACAGTGACTAAAAGGCCTGGAGAATCTCACAGATTGACCTGTACTACTTCTGGATTCACATTAAGTAGCTACAGGATGAACTGGGTCAGACAGGCTCCTGGGAAAGGACTGGAGTGGATCGCTTTTATACACACAGGCAGTTCTCATATCTATTACTCCCAGTCGGTCCAGGGTAGATTCACTATCTCCAGAGATGACTCCAGCAGTAAAGTGTATCTGCAGATGAACAGTCTGAAGGCCGAGGACACAGCAGTGTATTACTGTGCCAGAGACACACAGTGATAGACAGTAACAGGAGAGTCATACACAAACTACTTCCTCTGTTTACCACCACCCATGAGAGCATTCACTTTATGTTGAAATACTGAGTAACTGAATATTGACATCCTATTTCGTCTCATTTGACGCAATGTTTAATTCAGTTGCAACCTAAAGAAATGTAGTGAATTCTAACAGAAAAATATGTATTTTTGTGTATTTTCTGTCTCCAACAAAATGTATCATAGATAATATAAAAATGTCCCATTTCAAACAACGCAGCTGTTTATCTGATTCAGTATGGTTAAACTGTGCCCATGTATCTCTAGAAGTACATTAATGAAAGCACACTTTGATAACATTAAACATTAAAAAACATCTGTTTGATTTGCCGATTGAACACAAATCATCATTATATCATAAACATTATCATCAGGAAAGCTTCATCTGTTTGAATTTGAAGCATTACTGTAACATAACCACAACCAAATGAAGCAAATTCTATATTTAACACTGGAGAGAAACAACTGATTCCAGTCAGCTAACTGGCAAACTTTAATCCACCGTAAACACAGTGGAGAAGTTGATTAAATAAAAACAATATATTAATAATGTTTCCCTTAAAGAAGCAGCTCTGATCATCTAATCTCTAACCCAAATTAAATCAAATAAACCCGAGATGAATGGTTATTTATATAATTTAGATTATTGTCGTATTGGATGTAGGCCTAGCTGTCCCTCTTGCAATCAAAATCGTTATTTTCTATTTGTTGTTGCTTTAAAAATGGCCTTGCAAAAATTATTCTTAAAAAGACACACAAACTTAGTTATAGGAGGAGTCAATGCAAAACTCAGATATCTCCCCCTCTACTTATGTGACTGCAGAGAGGAGGACAGAGGACAGAGGACAGAGGACACACAGTTTAACATGATGGACTATAGGACAGGACTGCTGCTGCTCACTGTCTGCTGGGCAGGTCAACATCTTTACTGATCTTTATCTAACACAGCTTCTAATTGTGTCACCACCAGCTTATTTCACCAGATGTGTTTTTATCCTCTTGACAGGTGTTGATGGTCAGACTCTGACAGAATCTGAACCAGTGACTAAAAGGCCTGGAGAATCTCACAGATTGACCTGTACAGGCTCTGGATTCACATTCAGTAGCCACTGGATGGCCTGGGTCAGACAGGCTCCTGGGAAAGGACTGGAGTGGGTTGCGAGTATGTATAACAGTAACAATATCTTCTACTCTGAGTCAGTGAAAGGCCGGTTCACCATCTCCAAAGACGACAACAGACAGCAGGTGTCTCTGCAGATGAGCAGTCTGACGGCTGTAGACTCTGCTGTTTATTACTGTGCTCGACACACAGTGACTGAAGCTGGTTGAGCAGCTGTACAAAAACCTACAGCACCTATTCTTATCTCGATAAACTCTCAAAATCAATTATATTCTTCATGTATCTTTTGCTTTGGCTGTATATAATAAAATTATGAAATTCAGCCTTGAGAGAGATCATCAATTACCAGCAATGTTTAATTAACACATTGTTAGAACAATATTATCGATGTGTTGATCGCTGGAACACAAAATAGCCAAGGAGAAAAAAACGAAAAGGTCTCCTGAAATCAATGTCCAAAAAAGGAATAAAATAAACAATACATGAACACATTTCAGCCACATAATGCATATATATGGGAGTAAAAATAATGTAGAAGCTGCTCTCATAAAGACACTAGAGAGTTCCCCTCTCCTCTGTCAGTAAAAGGAAACACTCAGATCTGCTGCTCTCACTGATCTTAACTCACACTCAGACCCTGCTCTGAACTACAGGTTTATATTCTCACCCTGTGAGAGGTTGCTTCATTATAACACACAAAAAACATTTTAATAGCTGGATCAGAATTCACTGCAGATTTATGAGTTCATTTAGTCGTAGTTCTCCCTCAAACAGATTTCAAGATATCAGGCATTCTATTGGTTGAGAACAGTCACAAAATAAATAAATGTACACAGAAGGATTTACTAATGTTATTTGAGATTTATATATAAATGTCTGCATCCACACAAATATTTTTCAATGCATACACAAATACTTATAGTTTTATATGAATATAAAAACGTTTTCACAAATGTAAAACATTTTTAAGAGGGAAGTGTCAGTAGCCAATCAGATGTCTGCTTAATTGTAAGCCAATCAAATGATTGCGTCCCCACTGATAGATATTCTACACAACTTAAAACTAATTAGAGAAAATACTTAACAGCTGAGATGGAGAGTTGATATTTTTTACAAACCCTGTGAGGAGGAGTCAATGCAAAACTCAGATGTCTCCCCCTCTACTTATGTGACTGCAGGGAGGAGGACAGAGGACAGAGGACACACAGTTTAACATGATGGACTATAGGACAGGACTGCTGCTGCTCACTGTCTGCTGGGCAGGTCAACATCTTTACTGATCTTTATCTAACACAGATTTTAATTGTGTCACCAGCTTATTTCACCAGATGTGTTTTTATCCTCTTGACAGGTGTTGATGGTCAGACTCTGACAGAATCTGATCCAGTGACTAAAAGGCCTGGAGAATCTCACAGATTGACCTGTACAGCCTCTGGATTCACATTAAGTAGCTACGGCATGAGCTGGGTCAGACAAGCTCCTGGAAAAGGACTGGAGTGGATCGCTTACACCTATAGTACTTCTACCTCTTACTCCCAGTCGGTCCAGGGTAGATTCACTATCTCCAGAGATGACTCCAGCAGTAAAGTGTATCTGCAGATGAACAGTCTGAAGGCCGAGGACACAGCAGTGTATTACTGTGCCAGAGACACACAGTGATAGACAGTAACAGGAGAGTCGTACAAAAACTACTTCCTCTATTTACCACCACCCATGAGAGCATTCACTTTATATTGAAATACTGAGTAACTGAATATTGACATCCTATTTCATCTCATTTGACACAATGTTTAATTCAGTTGCAACCTAAAGACATATAGTGAATTCAATCAGAATAATATGTAATATTGTTTCTTTTGTGTCTCCAACAAAATGTATCACAGATAATATAAAATGTTCCATTTCAAACAACGCAGCTGTTTATCTGATTCAGTATGGTTAAACTGTGCCCATGTATCTCTAGAAGTACATTAATGAAAGCACACTTTGATAACATTAAACATTAAACAAATCTATTAGATTTGCCGATTGAACACAAATCATCATTATATCATAAACATTATCATCAGGAAAGTTTTATCTGTTTGAATTTGAAACATTACTGTAACATAACCACAACCAAATGAAGCAAATTCTATATTTAACCCTGGAGATAAACAACTGATTCCAGTCAGCTAACTGGCAAACTTTAATCCACCATAAACACATTTGAGAAGTTGTTTAAATACAAATGATATCTTAATAATGTTTCCCTTAAAGAAACAGTTCTGATCATCTAATCTCTAACCCAAATTAAATCAAATACACCCGAGATTAATGGTTAGTTAGTTAATTTAGTTTATTGTCGAATTGGATGTAGGCCTAGGTGAGTCCCTCTGGCAATCAAAATCATAATACTTTACATGAAGTCTATTTTATAAATGGCGTTGCAAAATTATTCTTAAAAAAACACACACACTTAGTTATAGGAGGAGTCAATGCAAAACTCAGATATCTCCCCCTCTACTTATGTGACTGCAGAGAGGAGGACAGAGGACAGAGGACACACAGTTTAACATGATGGACTATAGGACAGGACTGCTGCTGCTCACTGTCTGCTGGGCAGGTCAACATCTTTACTGATCTTTATCTAACACAGATTTTAATTGTGTCACCAGTTTATTTCACCAGATGTGTTTTTATCCTCTTGACAGGTGTTGATGGTCAGACTCTGACAGAATCTGAACCAGTGACTAAAAGGCCTGGAGAATCTCACAGATTGACCTGTACAGCCTCTGGATTCACATTCAGTAGCTACTACATGAACTGGGTCAGACAGGCTCCTGGGAAAGGACTGGAGTGGGTTGCTACTATGCACCCTACTAGCAGTGCCAACATCTTCTACTCTGAGTCAGTGAAAGGCCGGTTCACCATCTCCAGAGACAACAACAGACAGCAGGTGTATCTGCAGATGAGCAGTCTGACGGCTGTAGACTCTGCTGTTTATTACTGTGCTCGAGAGACACAGTGACTGAAGCTGGTTGAGCAGCTGTACAAAAACCTACAGAACTCATCCTTATCTTAGATATACCCTTAAAATGAATTATATTCTTCAGTTATCTGTTGCTGTGGTTGTATATAATACAATTATGAAATTCAGCCTTGAGAGAGTTCATAAATTACCAGCAATTTAAATAAATTAAAAAAGATCTAGATGAATTGATCCCTGCCAAAAAAAATAGCCAAGACCAAAACAAAAAAAAGATTCCGCTGAGATCAATGTCATAATAGGAATAAAATCAACAATACATGAACACGTTTCAGCACCATTAATGCATATCATGGAGCAGCTGCTCTCATAAAGACACTAGATGGCAGTCAGTGTTGAGTTCCCCTCTCTTCTGTCAGTAAAAGGAAACACTCAGATCTGCTGCTGTCACTGATCTTAACTCACACTCAGACCCTGGACTGAACTACAGGTTTATACTCTCACCCTTTGAGAGGTTGCTTCATTATAACACAAAAAGGAGCTGGATCAGCAGTCACTGCAGATTCATTAGTTCATTTAGTTCTCCCACAAACATATTTCAGTATCTCAGGCATTTCTTCCTGTGTGTCTTGTTTCATAACAAATGGTTTCTATATAAAACAGCTAAACAGTTTAGGCAGATTGTTCATTTTTATCAGAATTTAAATATTAATTTAAATATTCTTCATATTCAGCACTAAGAGGAGGAGCCAATGCAAATATTCATCTCTTCCATCTTTATTTATCTCACAGCAAACTGAAGAGGAGAGCTCAAACCACTGCAGCACACACAACACATTTCCACTATGACTTTAGCTACATGTTTAATGTTTCTGATGCTTTCATGGATTTCTGGTGAGTACATACTCCTGCACTCTTCTTTTACTTAGGTTTATGTTTGGCTCTGTTGTGATCAAGCTGCTTTTCTCTCCAGGTGTTTGCAGTCAGACTCTGACTGAGTCTGAAGCGGTGGTAAAGCTCCCTGGACAGTCCCACAAACTGACCTGTACATATGCAGGAATATCAGATAGTGATGCTGCTATCAGCTGGATCAGACAAGCTGAAGGAAAAGGACTGGAGTGGGTTGCCCACATTTCTGCTCCAAGTGGAACTAATAAATATTATTCCACGTCAGTCCAGAATCGCTTCACCATCTCCAGAGACAACAACGTGGACCAGGTGTATCTGCAGATGAACAGCCTGACGTCTGAAGACTCTGCTGTTTATTATTGTGCTCGACAGACACAGTGATACAGAAAGCCACAGAGCTGTACAAAAACCACTTCATTGTCAGTGGCATTAACCAATAGAGAGTGCAAGTAATTTTCCACCTTAAATCAGGATATCTTATATACACAAGATGTAAATACTTCCCCACGCAATGCTTCTGTCACAAGACGTCTTTGTGTTTTAAAATAAAGTCAGTGACAAAGGTTACCCCAAAAGGGCGACACTGGTGGAAGTCCCCAGAGAAGCTATGCAAAAACCTTGCAGACTGTTAATGTCTAAATGTGTTTGTCTTCTCTGTGTTATATGGCTTTTAAAGAATAAAAACATAAATATGAGGACTTTGTTTGAAATATTAATCAAAATCATATTCTTTTCGAGACTGTTAAGCTAGGGGGTATTTTGTATAATTCCTTACGCTTATAAAACATTTGAGTGATCATTATAACGTAGAGATCCCCACATGTGTTTTCTCAGGCCTCTGCATGTATTATATTGAAAACAAGATATTGAGATATTTATAGAATGACAGAGCCAATGAATTGGTGAACAGAGAGAAGAAGAGGGGACCCAGGACGCACCCCTGAGGGACCTCATTGAGGAGGGTCAGACATACATCTTCTCAAAGTTACCCTGTAGGTTCAGTCTCTGAATAATCTAAGTTTGGTGAAGATCTCACTAATAAACACATCAGAAACACTGAGTGGGCCGATTAATGATTGAGATTATGTTGATTTGTGTTTCCAAAGGTAGGCACATTATTGATCTGATGCAGTCGGAC